AATCGAAAGTAGCCGCATTATTGCTGTTTTTGAAGTTGGTGGTGGTGGTTTGTATTTTGTTTGTAATTTTTATTTTGTTGCTGATTTGCACAAGGGTGACAATAAAACGAAATGTATCAGACGAGGAAGACCGAGTGCCATGTTAAAACAAACTCATGGGTCGCCACTGCTCGGAGAACGAGCGACGCTTCTGTCACAAGTTCATGTTGACGTCCTTTGTTACTTTGTAACAGACTGGGTAAACAGTGACCACTCATCTCACTTACAATTTGTGTATGAGTTCGGGGGGGGGGGGGGGGGGGGTTTTTTGAGGGATCACACGCTTACCTCACAAGCAGCTGAAAATAATTGGTAGCTATTGGTCAACAGTGGGAGGGGCCAACGCAACATGATCGGTTGGAGGGACTACCTAACAACAACGTCAGGTAATTGAATTATGACGGATTGCCCATAACGCCAGGGGCAAATGCACAATTTATGACAAAACGTAATGGAGTCACTAAGGTGGCCGTCTAAGACAGGTGTTATTGCTTAGTGTGATACAGGTTGTGTGTTAAAATATGGTGGCCGCGGCCGCGTTGGACAGATGCCCGTTTTACACAGTTAAATTATATAGAAAAAAAACGCAATGGGGGAAATGGAAAGTGTCCGTTTGTACAGGTGGCCGTCTTACAGAGGTGGCCGTCGGAGCAGGTTTGACTGTACTTTCAAACTTTCCAACTCTTGGGCAAGGGCTGCTGATGCATCCACTGCATATCCCCTGTGCAATTTGTTTGCAAGATCACGAATAACGCCGACTTCCTCTTGGGGATATTTCCACAAAACACAAATTAAATAACGAATCGAGTTTTGTCACTGCATTATACCTTGTCGTCAAATTTCCAAGAAGGCAGTCAATGAGGACATAAAAACACTTCATGTTTTGAATTTGTTCTCGGGATTTTGGCAGTGGCTGTTACATCTTCTGTCTCGTCTGCAAAAAGCTTCCTTTTCTTTTGTCGTTTTGCTGTTTCGGCAAATGAATGCTCTATCTCATAGTTATCTACTACCAATTTGGACACTCTCAAGAGTGCGTCCCTTTCATCTCGTAAGCTGTACAGATCTTTAATCATCAGACTCTAATTGATTTCTTTTTTTGGACACCTTAACGTCAAGCGTCGCATCTTCTGCTTGAAGCTCTCTATTTCTGTGATCGATTGCTGAGAGGATTTTGAGCCAAACAGATGCCATTATCACACATTCAAATGATGCAAAGTACTTAAGAATACCAATCAAATCTGAATGTGTTTCTGGGGTGAGGTTCTTTAAAGAACAGTTTGAACAGCTTTCCTCAGTCCCCCGATATGAGCCGCAAAAAGCCTGACACTGTCAACACGTGCTGACCAACGTGTCTGACTGAGACATACTGTGCAAAGAGCTGGGAATGTTTTGCTTAAAATTTTCCAACCTTTGTGGACTGGAGCTAAAAATGTTATACATCTTTTGTACAACTCCAAAAAAAAGTTATGACTGCTGAACAGCTTTCTGCAGAATGCACGCCACACAAATAAAAACTCTGACAGCCACAGGGAGAGTATGTGGCAAGTGAACACTGTCTTAAAAAGTGAGCATGTGCACCATTTTACAGTCCACACGACATGTTGCTACTGTTGTCGTAGCCTTGGCCTCCGCAGTCTGTAATTGGAATGTTTTTTTCATTCAGTGTATCAAGGATAATTTTAGCGATGTCTTCTGTTTTCTTGTTACAATCTACACATTTCATTCTCTCTTCTACTTTCTAAACATTAATTGTATCACAGTCCAAGTGAACGTACTGCAAAATATAAACAGTTTATTCGACGTGTGAAGAGTCTGGTGTTTCATCAACGATAATGGAGTAATATTTCGTTCCCGCTCTTTCATCTTTCATACAAAATCATGTCTATCCCTTTTGATGCACAACGTTGGATGAATTCATTTTGACTTTCTGGTGGTAGATAGTGAACTTGTAGGCGCCTTTTTTCTTTGTGTGATTTTTTCAACTTTTGTAAGATGCCCTGTAAAGTTCTGTGAAGTTGTCAGATATACAGCTCAACTTGCAGCCGAAATATATTTTATTTCAAAGCTTTGTACGGTACTCGATCTCTCTCTCTCTCTCTCTCTCTCTCTCTCTCTCTCTCTCTCTCTCTTTCTCTCTCTTTTCATCGTGTTTGCGCCCACCCCCCAACCCCCGGGCCCCGTGGAATTGCCCCCCCCCCTCTCGACAGGCCTGGGTACACCACCTGATCAGCAGCATGTATTTGAAAATAAAAAGAATTAGTAAAATACGTCATCTAATCAATACTAAGTATACTGCTTTACTAATAACTAGTATTCTAGTATAGTTTTATCAAGACTCGATTATTGTAACTCCTTGTTATCTGGAATATCACAGGAGAACGTGAAAAGACTTTAGTTTTACGGAAAAGAAAGCGAGACTCTGCTACACCTCTTTTACTAGCACTAGCTTCCTGTTGAGAAAGGAATTCCGTGAGCAAAGAATGATGAACTAGTTAGCCACTTTATGTCAAAAATGCTTGAATGATAATGCGCCATCATATTTATCAAATCTGTTGAGACTGTATATTCCAACTCGCAGTTTAAGGTCATCAGCTGACCAAAAGAAATTTCTTTTACCATCCAGGGCCTATGAAACTTGAAAACAGTGGGTGAAAGGGCATTTGAATATCAAGGCCCCAAGATCTGGAATGCTTTGCCAAGTACATATAGTTTAAGAGAGATCAGATCCTTTGATTCATTGAAATGTCAACTGAAGTCATTTTTGTTTTTAAATTAATAACATGAATATTTAGATAGCTTTCTTTTGTTAGAATACGTTTTATGTCACTGTTGTATTGTATTGTAAAGTGCCCAGAGCCTGCGTACACTTTAATCACGGTTGAGCGCTATATAAATTATTTCACTTATGATGATTATTATTCCTCCTTTATTTCCTGGCTACTTTAAAGATAATTTAATTTTGATAGAAATAAACAACCTAATAATATCATAGGAGTTCAATTTTTTAAATCGTTCTTTTGTATTTAGGTTTAAAAAAATGTCAGAAGCTGGCAAACCAATAAAATTCTTGTTATGTGTTAAAGAGATTAAAAAAACCAAAACAGAATAAATGGTAAATTGGATTGGGTAGTCATGGCACCAAATCTTAAACAATTCTCAGTAAAAATGGAGAAACATGATGGATCGCAGCACTTATATGACCATATTGTGTTGTAAGTGCCTTAAAACTCTTACTAAAACTAAAAACGAGATAGGTTCTATCGTGTCAACAGTTGTACATTATGTCAATATCTTCTCTGACATGACTTATCAGCAACAAAGGTTGCACACGTTTTTATCGAACAAGAAAAGTTATCGGTTTTTTAAAGAAAAGTTACACAACTTTCTTGTTGACTAAGACAGATTGCATACCTTTTTCCGTTGAGGAACAAAGGTTACACACCGTTTTATTATTATTTTTTGAATTTGCCTTTTATTTTTTACTTATTCCTTGTGTTGCCCGATGTGGCATATTTTGGCTTTAAGTCTGTCACATGCGCCAAAGTGGTTACAAGTAAAAAAAATAATTTAAAAAAGGCCTATAATCTCTTTGATCTGCACACAGTGTGGCCTATTTTAGTTTAGTCTTCGTCAAGCCTAATGTGTCATGTTCTGGAAGGGGAGGCGGGGGGAGGGGGGGGGGTCGTCAGCATTACTCTCTGCGGCATTATTTGGCTTACCATAACTTGTTATCCTTATGAGGCATTATGATATTGTTTGAACCTGAAGTTTGAACCCCCAATAACCTTTGAAAGTCCTTAACCATAAAATGTTAGTAATCATGTCCAGCTGAAAAAATATGCCCTCAAGATCTGAGGCAGAGGCTACGCTGACAATAATATGTATTAATATTTGCTACATGAAAGGTAGGGCACAGTGCAGATGCCACCAGTAGCTATTTGAGAAGGAAATAGTAGTAGTAGTAGTAGTAGTAGTAGTAGTAGTAGTAGTAGTAGTAGTAGTACCGGTAGTAGTAGTAGTAGTAGTAGTAGTAGTAGTAGTAGTAGTAGTTGTAGTACATATTGAAAAAGGCATTTAAAAAAAAGTTCTTTCACGTAACTGACAGGAGATTTTCGTTATCCGGTATTTGTTTGTTGTAAGCCTTCGATTGCAATATAAGTGGGGCCCATTCCATGAAAAGTAAAACTGCAGCAGTACACAATATATCATAGGGATAATGACCTGCTGAAAAACACAATTCAAAGCAGCGATAGAGAGCCATTAAAAAAGATTGATTAATTAATCAATAATTAATTCATTTTTGTTTCTTTTCCTATTCTGTTGGTGATCTTATTCGCATCCGACTATAATAATGAGAATGTGAGAAAGTTAGTACCGTGATGTTTCAACACTTAGATGGGACAGTAAGACACTGTGGATGACAATGATTCGACTTAACTGTCAGAATATTTTGATTACTTTATTTCATTCATTAGGTTGTTTCCCCTACATTTGTAGCCTATATTAGACCCCCCCCCCCCCCCCCCCACATACCCCTTTCCCACTGTACTCGCACGGAGAGACCAGATTTTGAAGCTGTCTATTTGATTTTGATAAAGGCAACCTTCCTCTACGTTTTAACCAGCGACTTACCATGAATTAATCGATGGATGATATAATTACAGAAACGTTGGTTATGTATTATGGCGGTGTCTTTTTTTTTAAACAACACTGATTTTTAAGAGCTTTACGGCGCGGTGTTTATAATAAGAGTTTTACGGCACTTGCTACACAAGTAGGATAATAAATTCCCGAAGATTACAGCGTTGTTACTAGAAAGTGACATACAAAGAAAAGGACGAGAGATAGGGATGATATATGTTTGATTGTAATGAGGAGCAAACCAAGCCAGAGCACCGGCCAATATTACCCACGTCATACTGGATGAGAAATATCGTTTCATAAACAACAGAAAACAGAAATTGTAAAGCGTGTAAAAGAAATAAATTTATTCATATCAAAATGGCATCAAAGTATTCATAACAATAAGCAATGACTACAACAATAAGAAAAAAATCATTCTCTCTCTCTCTCTTTCTCTCTCTCTCTCTCTCTCTCTCTCTCTCTCTCTCTCTCTCTCTCTCTCTTTCTCTCTCTCTCTCAAAATATTAAGAAAGGAATAACCATCCGACATTCATCCCCCCTCTCTCTCTTTCTCTCTCTCTCTCTCTCTCTCTCTCTCTCTCTCTCTCTCTCTCTCTCTCTCTCTTTCTCTCTCTCTCTCACCCTCTCTCTCCCCCTCCCTGGCTCCATCCTTTCCCCCTTCCCTTTGGATAGAAGTGTTTTGGCTTCAACGAGTATATTATAATCGAAATACGGCCATTCATTCTCTGGATTTCCTGTTCTCTAAACACTTTCAAGTGTCTGTATAATTGGGGTGTAAGATTGTTGGGTGTTTTGTTAATTTATACAGTTGTTTTCATGGTGCAGTTTTTAAGTGGGAGGGGAGAGTTGTTAACAAAAGTGATAATAAGAGAATTTTCAATCATTTTCATTTTGAATTAATCCAACCTTAGACCACAGAGCAAGTTCCTCAGACTAGACAATTGCAATAAATGGCTTTTTTTTATAGCGCATATCCACGTTCATTAGCAAGCACCATGTGACAATCTATATCATTACCCCAGTGGACCCTAGAATACCCAAAAACATTCTTGGCTTCTTGGGAAACACACAGTACAAGCAACCAATTTAGCACTCAAGCACTAACGAACTGACAAGATCTTTTGCAGACTATAGCCAGGACAGCCCCCACCCGCCCCCCGGATGACGTGAGGAACGTTCATGGAATATTATGTTATTCATCCACTTTAACATAGACACCGCCGTTGTTTTCCTGCCTTTAAAATGTTATGTTACAATTAATGTTAAACTTCAGCGTCATGAACCCCCCCCCCCCCCCCCCGAGGCATAGTAACTCAGAATAAGAATACATGAAACTGTAATGTACTTAATAGTGATACTAATGGGCTTGTTCATCATTCACCAATAGCAGCTCTGGCTCTACCTAAAATTCTATCAATAGCAGCTCTGGCTCTACCCAAAGTTCTATCAATAGCAGCTCTGGCTCTACCCAAAGTTCTATCAATAGCAGCTCTGGCTCTACCCAAAGTTCTATCAATAGCAGCTCTGGCTCTACCCAAAGTTCTATCAATAGCAGCTCTGGCTCCGCCCAAAGATGGCGATGAGGTAAGAGTTCATAAACATGTCACAAGGGTCAACTCTGGCCAATCGCTTCTGCTCACTGAATCCTGGCAGCAGACTTCCGTAGACATCTTTGACGTGGTCGATGATGCCAGCAATGTTGTCGTGACGCTTGGCCCAGTGGGGGCGGACTTTCTCGTTCTTGAAGAATTCCACGAACTGAGGAGAACAAGAGAGATTGATTATGTCGATAATTATTGGTAGAACTAAGGCACGTAATAATCTCTCTCTCTCCCCTTCTCTCTTTCTCTGTCTCTGTCCCTCTTTCTCTGTCTGTCTGTCTGTCTGTCTGTCTGTCTGTCTGTCTGTCTGTCTGTCTGTCTCCTCCCGCTCTCTGTCCACCCCCTCCCCCCTCTCTCTCTCATACTCTCTCTCAAATAAATCACCAACCCACCCGTCCATCCGCCTAAATCTCAACAACAAGAACAACACAATCACTACCACCACCACCACCACCACCACCACCATCAATAACAACAACAACAACAACAACAACAACAACAACAACAACAACAACAACAACAACAACAACAACAACAACAGTCAGTACTCACATCGGCAGCAGCCTTGTAAAATCCTTGCTGAGCGGGTGGCGCCAAAAAGTCAATGACCAGTGTCCGGCCTGAGTCGTTCGGCATTTGAATCTCTGCATTCCCTGGACACAGGAAACATTCGTGGTTCTGGAAGAACCGGGGCAGGAGGGCGTTCATAGGGGTGGTGCCATTATCACGGATCTGTTGCTCTGAACGAGAGATCATGAACTGAGGACGAAAACATTCGAAAGAATATATAAAAATACAAAGTAAACAATAATAATGTAACTTTCAATAGTCATGATCATGGTTTAATATAAAGCACTGAAGGATTGTGTATATATGCAATATAAAAAAAGATTAATCAATTGGTATATGCAATATAAAAAAAGATTAATCAATTGGATCTGCTACTGGATACAAACTGCTAATGTTGAAGCGATCCGATGAATCGTCCAGTCTATCGCACTACACTCACGTCGAAAACCTTGTAGTCTCAGTAAAAAGAGTTTCACAGTTCCTCATCAACAGACTCCTAAGAAACCACATTTCTGGTATCTCTAGTCTATTTTAGATATCCAAAGTAACTGTCAAGCACCCTCAGCAGGGACACAGAGCACTAATAATAATAAAGACATTACCGTCAGTAAAGAGTGAATAGTCTCACCGCTTAGAAAGCTCTGCACAATATTACATCATAGAGGGGTTTCAGCAATACCTCGTTTACTAATAACATTTTAAGATAGTACAGGCATACTAGTCGAAAGCCCTGTGTAGACTTGATCGTCGTACATGTTTCAGCATGACTTCATTCGATTTTTTTTTCCATAGCATTCTTTTACAGTATGAGAATGACTCTATCCCTAGATAGTATACTAGTCCAAAACGCAATGTAGACTCAATCGAAAGAGTTTCAGCAGTACTTCGAATTCGATATCTTTTTCTTTGATGACATTTTAAAGTATCCCAAGATAGCAGTATACCCACGTGATCCAAAGAGTTTCAGTTGTACTCAATTTGATTTTTTTTCTTTGATGACATGTTTAACAGTCTCCCAAGATAGTGGCATACTCACGTTGAAAGCTCTATAGACTCGATCGAAAGGGTTTCAGTTATACTAAGTTTATTGTTTTTTCTTTGATGACAAGTTTAACAGTCTCCCAAGATAGTAAATGTGGCATACTCACGTTGAAAGCTCTGTAGACTCGATCGAAAGAATTTCAGTAATACTCAATTTGTGTTGTTTTTTTTCTTTGATGACATGTTTAACAGTCTCCCAAGATAGTAAATGTGGCATACTCACGTTGAAAGCTCTGTAGACTCGATCGAAAGAGTTGTCAATGTTGAGCATGAAGGCTGCACTGGTCTCGGTTCCCCAGCGGGGAGGCAGGATAACGGGGAAGGCGTTCACGAGGTAGTGGAAAGACTTGGGGCTCAGTTTCTTGGCGATATCAATAGCTCCCTGCGTGTGAAGAAAGAGAAATTGTTAGTATGTATGTGTGTGTGTGTGTGTGTGTGTGTGTGTGTA